AATACAAACCCTTATGGCTCGAGGTCAAAATTGTAGTGTAAAAATGTTCAAGCATTAGAGTGCAATAAAACGAGAACCACTTTCTTTCCTTCAATATATATTTTTTAAATGATGTTTCAAAAGAGTTTATTATGTTTAATTTATCTATCTTGATCAATGACATGTACAGCCCAAAATACACCGTGTAGAGTTTAATTATTCTTATATTTCAGTTTCTTCTTTCTTCTTCTGATTCAGTTTGTTTATTCCAGAGGCAGATGCCAATATCAAGATCCCCTGCGATAATAAATAAAGAAAATAGTTGCACTGTGGCACTCTCAGCCTTGGAAAAGAAATAAAAAACACAATGGATAGTATAACCAAGTGATACCTGAGAAAAAAACACAATAAAAGTAGAGCCATCCACATTATAGGCACAGCTTTAGTGTCTGGGTGTGTGTGCATATTTATGTGTGTGGGGGTTCTATTCATTATTCTGACTACCTGTGGGAAGGAACTGTCTCTGAAACGGGTGGTGCGTGATTTAATGCCCTGGTAGCGTTTTCCAGATGGCTGGAGTGAAAATAGTGTGTGGGCTGGATGACTTGTGTCCTTGATGCTGCTTTGGGCCTTCCTTTTACGGCAGGTAATGAAGATATCATAGCTGTGGCAGTACATTCCTGATGCTGCTTTACAGGGTTTTGCTGCTGTTTCCAGTCCTGTGCAGTCAAAACTTCCAAAGCATAGTGATGCAGCTTGTCAAAATATACTCTCTATGGTGCGATGATGCAAGTTAGCTTCAGAGACCATGCTGAATCTTTGTTGTGATTTCCTGAGAAAGAAATTAAGAAGTTTGTTAGGTCTACAGTGCAGTGGTGGATTGAATATGTATACAATATCTCAGGTGGCCACAGGGCTTTTTTCAAGGTGAGGATCAGAGTTTGCATGTAAATATACAAGGCCATGATTAAGTGATGTGTCAGTAAAATATACAGTGTGTGAGTGAGGGGCAAGGAGTCAGAGACACACTATCCACATGAAACTCAAATCATTTTTGCATTTATTGTTTGCTCCCCAACCCCTTTTGTAATTCTTACCACTACAACTCCTAGCCTCTTGTAGCCATCGCTGGTCTATGTTCTCTATTGTCAATAGTAGAGATGTCCCGATCCGATCACGTGATCGGGGATCGGAGCCGATCACGTGATTTTCAAAAGATCGGAATCGGGAGAAAAAAATCGGGGATCGGATTATTTTTTTTATTTTTTTTTTTTATTTTTTAATAAAATATTTTTCTTATTTTATTTAATGTTACAAAACAAAAATGACCATGTTCACGTCTTAAAGTCATCCTGAGGCCTTAGTTTTGGTTTAAAATTACACAACATCATGTATGTGTTGCTTCTTTTGGGCTTGTTTTCATCGACCTGGTTGCTTATTTCTCTCAAATCTGGCAACAGAGTGGGCGCAGTGTCTAATAGTAGCAGTAAGCTAACAAGAGGCTACGTTCAGCTGGTGACTCGGGACAGAGAAAATGTCAGGAGTTTGGAAGTATTATAAATTGAAAGCGAAGGCAGTGTAACAGCCAGATGCAATGTTTGCAAGGCGGAGGTTCCGCGTGGTGGAAAGAACAGAGCTACGTTCAACACGACCAATCTAATACAAACACCAACAACAACACGACGAGTACACAGCGGCCATTCAGGTAACGGCACTGAAACAACCGACACTTTCAGAGACTTTTAAAAGGAAAGAGAAACTGCCCCAGAACAGTGAAAAGGCCAAAAAAATAACAGCCAAGATAGCTGAATTCATCGCGTTGGATAACCAGCCGTTATCTGTGGTGGAGAACGTTGGGTTTAAGGGACAACTTGAATGCTTTTCTCCTTTTTTTTCTCTTAATGCATTGCATAAAGATCGGATCGGGAAAAATCGGTATCGGCAGATTGTCAAAATCAAATGATCGGAATCGGATCGGGAGCAAAAAAAGGTGATCGGGACATCCCTAGTCAATAGTGTTCTTCCCATGGATATCAATATTGTATTTTCTACTTTAATTTGCAAAAAAGATAGATCAACGGCGGTATAAGTTAAACAACCTTTTTTCATTTTTCTTTTGACTTATATTTTCCACGCCATAAGTTGTAGATTAAACAAATGCAGTCATTTCAGGAGGACTTTTAGAATTAGATGACACTCAGAAAGTAGGTTAAAATAATGACTTCAGTGAGCCATAAATACAATTTAATTACTTAAGTGCTCAGTTATTAACTGGTGTTTAATTATTTCTGAAGGTCAGCGTTTGTATGTGTTTAGGTTAATTTCGTTTTGCTCCATTTGTTGCATTGCTCCAATTACATGAACCAAATTATGGGTGGAATTATCTCCCTCTTTTTCTCAAATAAAGGCTTGGTTTTCTCTTCAAGTTCAGGTTAGTAATTGTAACAATTGTACAATTATGAATGCAAGTGTTACTGAATAAAGAGCTCATAAATGAATCTGAACATTTGTTTTATTCTCACTTGCCCTGTACATACATCAAAGGATACAATTCTGTTAAATTCTAATTGACCATGAGCTTGTATTTTGTATAAAAGGTGTTGCTCATCATTATCTCTTGTGTAAGCTCTTAATTGGTGCAGCAATTTCAAAAGAGAATTGCCAATTAGTCTGAAATCTCTTTTTTCAGAAAATGCATTGCGAGTGTAAAGTACTGTTTATTAGCATGTGGTCAGTTTTTTTGCTAAGAGGGTAATTGGATTCCTTTTTAAATCGCCACACACTGCAGTAACAGCCTGCCCAAGGGTGTCTTCTCATCTGAAGATGAATTGAATGAAATCAGAGCACCTGTCTCACAGCCCGCAATAGACAAAGCCCCGTGTCACTCACACAAGAGAGGCTAATAACACAGTTAGGCCATTCAGACTTGCTTTATTATGTGTCAGAAAGAGCAGTACAGCTGTTCAATACAATCAAACCCAGAGCTGTTACTGCCCTGGCCTTGAACAGTAAGAGAATAAAGAAGCTGGCTGATTGACAGACCTGCTCAAACATGACCGGTGTCTCCTCAGCTTTAGAACAAATTGATTTAGCTTTGAAATATCATTAGCTAACAAGGCCTTATTAATGAATTAATTACTACTATTTCATGAAAATCAGGTCATCTGTGTGTGACTTCATAAACTAAAAGCACATGTTTAGCTTGTTCTTTTAACACCTGAATGTAATGGATGTGTAAAACAAATCATTTGATTCATCAAGGTGAGATATCATTATCACTCTTTTATCTCGTTTTTTTCCCTTTTTGCTGATTCTCATTTTAGTTGTATTCTCTAATTGACAATGTCAAAAATAAGGCTGTTGGCTACAACAATTTGTTACGATCAACAGATATCATGAAAATACAAAAACAAACTGTGAGTCTCATTCTTTGAAAACAGGTCATGAACATAAACATATTTTCTTTAATTAAAATGTCTATGCCTGTCTATAATCATGTGGCTTTTAGAAAACAATACTTAAATAATAGTAAATGAGGCAGCAGTAGGTAAGAAGGAGTTAAAATAAATATAGTGCCTGCATTCATCGTAATGAGAAATGCCTCAAAGAGTGTAACAATGTAACACTTGGAGGTCCACTGCTCCCTTTATCAGGCTTTGACAAGAGAAATATAGAATATTGTTTGCCTTGTCCCTTAATGTTGCTCCCTATTCTACCAAAGCTTATGTGTTACAAACCAGTATGAGCAGATAATAAACTTAAGTAAATAAGTAAGAACATGTCTCTGATGATCGGAGTGTAAGATTAGTAGGAATCAACTCTCTCATTATTCTCTGCATTATATTATCTTGGAATAAACTAAATACAGTTGTGACCTTGGTAAGTATAAGAAAGTGAATCTTAAAGCTTGGGTAGCGTATTGTCTCACATGTTCAATCTTAATTATCGCAAGATGCTGTTTCTTTGGTAAACAGGGCACAGAGGGGATAGCTTCTGAACTCCACATAGTGAGCCCACGAGCAGGGCTCTACCTCAACAAAGTTCAAATTTAGTCAAACTCCCAGAACAGGCTAATCTCAGGAATTATAGAAACCTAGTATTCCACTTAATGTGTTAAACATTTGGACATAAATGGAAAAAAACATGCCAATTACACAAGTGGAAGGATCAAACTCACAATCCACTCAATCCTTTAACCTGTCACATGCAGGAGCTGAAACTGCAGACAGGTTAGTCGCCAGCACTGAAGTGTCCCAGCTCAGCATGGCAGCCCCCTGACATGACACCCTGACAGCTGCTCCCCTGCAGTGAGCCGACACACTAACTAATTAGCATAGACACTACCTTTCTGATCAACACAAAGCATTCTCTCTTGTTTCCAATTACGCCATGTGCATTTAAATGAGCCAATTAGAGTATGCATTTCCCCTGGTATCCAGTTCACAAAGTGTTTGATTGAGATTCTGCTGCACATCAATACAGCAGGAAGTTTAACTGCCCTGCAGGCCACTGCGGACGAGAAGGATGAGCTTCATGTTATACATACTAGATTCATTTGGTTTAGGTGGCGATCGAGATACGTTTTGGATAATTATTTAAGTTTTTGTTAAAATGTACAAAACAAATTATTTCATTATTTATTTATGTTTGTATAAGCGATACATGATAAACAATCTGGGCAGAATTGTATAGAAATGAGAAATTTGCAATCCAGTTATTAAGTAGATACAAAGTTAGTTAATACTTAGAGGATTGTGACCAATTAACAGCATGAGGAACTATTTTGCATTTTCCCTGCTTCTTTCTGCATTTTCTGAATAAATATTCTGCACTGTCCTTTCTATGAAAGGAACTTGTTCACTTAATCCTGCTGTGAATATTAATGTGGTATACATTTAATATAGATATATATTGCTTAATTCAGCAGAAAAAAAAGCTAATTTAAACTAGTTTACTTTTTTTAAATAGTACGATATTTTAACTGAAAATGTGTCATTTTCTGTGTCTCATTTCACAACTAGCTGTTGCAAGGGAAGTCCATTCCTAAACTGGGGTCACTGGACCAGATAGAAACAGGAAGTGGAGACGCAGATGGACGCTACAGCGGCGACTGTGATGATGAGGACGGCTGCGGTGGTTCGGGGGGCGACGAGGTGAAGAGGAAAGTCCCCAGAGTCTCCAAATGTAAGTCTGATCTTTCTGTGATTTTATTGAAGAATAAACCAGTTAACCTTACCACGTGAAGACATGTTACCCAGCTTTGTTTAATAGCAACAGCATCTGAGAGGGAATATATATTATCATTTATGTTCTAAAGGATTGGGTGAAATGATTTTCATTTGTATGTTTCGATGCATAATTGCATTTAGTTGTTATTGTATAAATCTCCTCTTTGTATGAGGTTAAGATTTTGTACATGGTCCCTGATAAATGAATGAAATACACTAAACATAAAACACATTATTAAAACAAAATGTCACAAAGCACACATATCATTACAAGTAATACTGTATAAACTCTTCAAGTTCATTTGCTTCCTAATTTTCAAATGCATTAAATTGAGCCTTTTACTCATCGCCCTTTTCAAAATTGCAGAATTACAAAAGTTAAACAGGTTTTTGATCGTTGAAGATATTAAATGCATAAGAATATATTTTAATAAGACTGGCTCCAGTCTCCATTTTATGACAGTCATAATAATAGTCGTTAAATATAATAGTTGCTATGGGGACATTATTGCAATCAATGCCCGTTACTTTAAGAATTATGGCTCCTCAGAGGATCAGTAACCTCTGATGAATCACAGCGGCGGAGCTCTCCTCTTCACTTTGTGTCCCGTCGCTCCTCTCAGCACAAGGAACCCCCTCTCCTCTCTGCTCTCCATCAAACATGCTAACCACCTGATTAATCACCTCTCTCGTTTTGCCTATGGCGACAGCGAGGAAGAGGGGGTCATCCAAACAAGCCGTTCTATCCGTGTAAATGTTTCCTTTACTGCTTGTCAGTCTGTCTGGAGGCTTTAGCAGCTCAGGCTCAGGGAGGCTGTTTAACAATCGCTCATGTGAGGTAGTGGGGAGGCTCTGACATTTATCACCCATTACAGTACAGCAGCCCTTTCCTTGTCATAGGCCAGATCAGCCTGTCTCCCATATTTATGACCCACTGTCTGTCATGACCTTTGTCGAGCATCTGTCCCCTGCTGCCTGACCCTCACACAACTACCCAGGGTTTCCACCTCAACCAGACCTCTGGTCAGTTCCTGCACATTTCCACTGGTATTAAATGCATGTATTGCTTAAAAATGGGTTGAATTATTTCTTAGTGGCTGTTTGTTATTTAGGTTTTATTGTTGTAGTATAATTAAATGTAGAATTTGGATACAGTAGCACTTAACATGTTCAATGTCTCTCTCCTACTAAAACAAGTCTTACACAATGTAAAGCAGCTTGTAAGAACAGCACACACTTAATGTAAGTACAATGCATTATATTTATGAACAGGATTACAAATATGCCCTAAAACTATAACGGAAACAAAGTGCTACTCTTGGACTCCAGCCTTTTAGGCCATACCTCTTTAGACGAATTAGATCAGTACACCTAGTTGTTTGGTGATTATCTGCAGGTACAACTCAAAATGAAAGTATATTTTCAGATCAGAAACAAATGCTTTAATATGTGTTGTTCTAGAGGTCATGCATTTTTTTCAAGGACTTGTTGTGTCAGTGTCTCTGTACTCTGCGGTCTGGCGTCTGTGCTCTGACAAGTTCATATTAGGCGAGACCCAGCCTCTTGAGAAACCAATTATAAATGACAAATCACAGCCTGTAAGGATAACACCGATGGCAAACTTTAGGTCTTTTCAGTACAAAAAAGATACTCTATATACCTAATGTTTAGTTTCAAGTAGATTATCAAAAGAAAAGACTCTCATTTCAATAAAAGCTTTAACTTAAATGACTTGAAGGTGTCAAGTTAAATCATAGCATGTACATTGATTTAAATATTGCAGCAGTCATGGAGAGGGTTTGCTGTGTCTGAAATGCTCTGTGATCGTCACACTTCTTTAGATCAGACAAGCAGTAGCGTTAGAGCCATTGCGAAATTCTTCAGAGTATTGACATTGTTCTTCATTGATGGAGATTGTCATTTAATTTAGTTATATGTGTTGCCAGAAAAACAAAGTTGAGAGTTCTGAAAAGTTCCTGCATCATACTGCAGCAACAGAGCTGATACATTGGCTACCGAGAGGGTTAAATCACAGTGGTGGTGATGAACTATTAATGAACATTGTTAGTTTTTTATTTCAGTGTGTGTGCAAAACTTCAGAACAGAAGCCCCGTAGAGACAGAAATACACTATGAACACTGACAACTACAGAATCAAAAAAATAACAAATGAAAAATAAATAATTCGATGAAGGTGAGCTAAAAACTGACATGCTACCAGCTCCCCAAGAACATGATCGACAAACTAAAAACAATACAACTCATTCACAAGTTACAAGTGAAGGAGATCACAGGGAGAGTGAGAGATGTATGTTGCAAGATATGTGATATGATGGTTTTTTTTTGCAGTGTTTACGAGTTTATGAACTATATAGAAGTCACAAGACAACGTGATATATCTCAAGCTTACATTATTTGAAAGGCATGTCATTCTTCACGTAAATTAAGCTGTCAGTGCCAGATACTATAACACCATTTATAATTTAATTTGATTTCTTTCTCCACAGTTATCCATAATCCCTCTCTTGGTGTGTTTGATGTTTATCAGCAGAACATGCTGACGATAGATCAGGATGATGAGGAAATAAAAAGGGAAAAGCTCAATACTGACAATACAAGCCTGATTTAAGGGATTATCCTCATTAAGCAGAATTACTGTTGTGTGAGACTGCTATGTATGTGACAAGAAGCAACAATGTTAGCAGTTCATCCTTCAGAAATATTTCAAGGAGTTTCGAAATGTTTAGTGCTTACAGATGGCTTTTGTTTACTGCATTGCACTCCAGATCCCTGAGTTACCTGAGTTTTTTTTGTGTGTAATCTCAGACAATTATTTTAGAAGGTAACACAGACTAAGAAAACAAAGGATTCCAAGAAATATCAGAAAGATTAAATATATCCAGAATCTTTTGTGTATTTCATTTGACGTCAGGCCCTGTTTTTGCAGTAATTGCAGACCTCCCAATTACTATAACAAACACACACATTCCTCCTTAATTAAATGAAATTAAAATTGAACACAAATGAGAACTAGCACCTCAATGTCAAAACTGTTGTAATATCACAGTGTTGTGTATTGCAGCATATTACAGTGCATGCAAAGCATCATAACCAGGATCATAATTACCAATTATAATCAACATAACTGGAATACTCATTAAGAAAATATATAATATATCCCATGTCTGTGGAGCTGTGTTGGTCCAGACTGTGACTGTGTGCAATTGTGAAACTCCATTGACATACTAATTGCTCAAATCAGATATCATTTTAATATGACACCTTTTAACTTCATAATAGCAAAAGAGACATTTTAACTTTGTAGACCTTATCCAGACCTTCATTTTTCTAAATAAGGCGAGCCGGAGGGCCTCAAGTAGTGGGGATGAGACAATGCTTTTCTGCCGCCCTACTTTATTGTTGAGCCTGATGAGATAATTATACACCTTTTAATTACATAAAAAGCTTCCCAGATATGAATATAATGAATCCAGGTTAACAATTTAAGCCTTGGTGGCTTATTAATAACCGAACAGTTATGAGATAACAACAAAGAAAGTCTACAGCCATGCTATTGGGTAAAATGTTTGCCATGTTCACCGTCTCACTTTACTGTCTCAGAATGAGAATATTTCCTGTTTATCTCTTAATAAAAAGTACAGCTGAGGCTGATAGCATTAGTTTTGAAGATATTTTGTTACAAAGTTTTGGACTGACATTTTAACCATATAATGGTGCTAGAGGATCATCATTTATTACAATTTATCGCTAAGTGGAACCAAGTGGTGACATCGAATGTGATGAAAATCCTTGGAATAGTTGTTGAGACATTTCCTTCAAAGCCAAAAATGAGAACCTGTTGGTGGCACTGGAGGAACAGTTAGATTCATCAAAGATATCCAGGGCAATTGTACAGAACAGACCAACATAACAACATTACAAAACAGAAGATCCAAATGTCAAAATGATACAAAGAATGCGAGTATGTAAAATGTGTGTAAAAGATGGACACAGGCTGATGTCAAGCATCTTCTAGGTGTCTTTCAGCCAGAGCCTGAGTCACACAACCTCCACTCCATCATGTCTGCTGGAAAGAAGACAGTCTACACAAAAATGCAAGAATTAAGGCTGAAGAATCCTTCACACAGACAGTAAAATGAAACAAATACAGACAGATATTACTAAGGAAATGGAATCAAATCTCCCAAGCAGATTACTTACGACTGTAAGCACAGTTTTGGTGGGGTGGTAGGACATGGAAACAGACTGAAAGGGTTCAAAAAGATACTACTGAATATATCCTCTGAAAGTTGCTGGGATCAAAGTAGAGGATCGACTGACATCGAGCCGTGCCCGAAGAAGAAGAAAAAACGTGCCTACAGTTGCCGGATACATACTAAAGGAAAAATAGAGGTTTACCTCAACTTCCCTTTATCCAATAATACATCTTGGATCAGCATCGCCTGCAGTTGGGAAAAACTAAGAGGCTTTTTCATGCTCCAGCACCAACATGCACCTCATGTCTCTTTTCTGGCCTGGTGTAGTCGGCTGCAGACACTGTGACTGCTTGCAGTGTGAGCGTTGTACTGCAAAAAGACATCTTTCAGACACTGTGGCAGCAGTGGAGACACCAATCGATTTCTAGCAAGTAAGCACAATGAGGGGAAGGGGAGAAGCTGCTTTACCATGACTCTTATTCATTAAGTGTCACAGTAGGAGAGTATTTCATGTTGTTTAGGTTTTTACCTTGTGGTAAATGACTGGATGTAGCTGTTGCATGTAGAACTCCTCCACTATCTAATGTCAAGGGATGATTTGAAAGAACACATTCAACAAGGGAATTGGTGCATATTTAGAAAAAGCAATTTCATGTCGTAATTGACGTGTTGTATATATTCCAGCTCTAAATGAGAGATCTGAGAGACAGGGGATTACATGAAGGCCACTGTGGACATAC